GATCGCCATCGCATTTGAGCCTCCTCGGACGGACTCTTCGGCTCGAGCTCGAAGTTCTTTCTCAAGTAATTCTCCATCGTCTCACTCATTGTGAACAATTTTTTCCCTCTGCAGCTTGAGCCAATCCGTTCGCAAAGAGGAAGAAGAAGAAAAGTTTGGTGATGACAAGGAAGAAGAATTCAAACAGCTCCGTAGAAGGCGGGAAAGAGAGAGAGAAAATGAGATGCACGAACACCTGACGAGGCCATCGGGGGATAGAACAGAATGATTTGCATTGTTTTCGTATTCCCGCTTGCTATTTATACCGCGTCCTAGGATAACTATATTTTATTCAATCCCCAACTATATCATCAATTCAACCAATTTTGTATAACTCCATTTTTACCCGACAACGACCACCAGTTTCAAGGGTATTTCAGTCTTTTTACAACTTATTGGATTTGTTTTTGGCCTACCGATCAAACCATCAACTTTTAAGATAATAATAGTGGTTGTTTACACCAATCTCACACTATCACGGTTTTAAAATGAGTCTATAGGTAAGAGTTTTTCACACCCTTCTAAAGAAATGTTTCGTTCCATTCCTCAACCAATGTAAGATCTAACAATCCACCTCACTTGGAGCCAGCGTTCTTCTGGCACCGGCAGGTGTCTACCTCTAATACCATCTATAACAATTAAAGACCACCACTAATAGATATTGTCTACATTAAAATAATTATTTTTAATATTATTTTTTTATTTGGAATTTAACTTAAATTTAAATATTTCTTTTAAAATAATAATAATAATTAAATAATTATCACTGATAAATTTTTACATATTTTTTTAAAAACAAATTGGCATATTATGTGCTCTTTTAGATTTGGCATGGGAATAAAGTGTGCAATTATTAATTTTTTAAATATTTTTATTAGTTTTAAAATTTACATTAAAATAAATTGGTAAACTTTAAATTTTATAGGTTATAAGTCTCGATTTTGTATTTTATATATTATTAATTTATTTTTTACTTCATAAATATATTTTTTTAGTGTTGGTGGTCCCCACATCATTTTTCAAATAATGCTAACGTCTCTTAATATCTAAAATTTTATTATTCTATTTGTATTGAAAGATTATAAATTAAATTATTCTATTTTTTTAATAATAATCTTTGAGTATGGATGAATTTATTTGGTTTTTTAATCTTAAAATATATAAAGAGAAATAATTACAAACAAAAAACCAAAATTAAAATCATTAATTTTTTTTAAAATCAAGAATAAAATAGGTTTAATGTTTAAATTCTAAAACTAAAATTATAATATTACATTTTTATTTACTAAGTAAACTTTGTATTTTAGGTATAAAAAATATTCTTAAATTTTGTTGAGTATTTTATTTCAAAAATATTTTTAAACTTTTAATAGTATTTTAAAAACCTTTGGAGCTTTAAAAAAAAATTATTAATACTCTTACAATTTTTTTTTTTTAATATTCTTACCATTAATAAAATATTTAAAAAAATATCTATAAAATTTAAAAATATAATTAACACCCCTAACCTTTATTAAAGCGTTACGTGAGCTGGTTTCAGAACGTTGTGAGACAGTTCGGTCCATATCCGGTGTGGGCGTTAGAGCATTGAGAGGACCTTTCCCTAGTAAAGAGGACTGGGAAAGACGCACCTCTGGTGTACCAATTATCGTGCCCACTGCAAACGTTGGATAGCTGAGTTGTGTTTTTAAACAAAATATTAACAATTTTGATCTAAAACTAACGGTAAGTATGAGTACTTTTTAAACTTTTTTGAAAGTTCAAGGGTATTTTTGAACTTTTATCGAAATTTCAAGGATATTATTGAAATTTTTGAAAAATCGAGAGTATTTTTTAGACACAGAACAAAATTTAAGGGTATTTTAATTAATTTAACATGCTTTTTAAACGAGAAAAAAATTGTGTTGTGTCTACCATGATGTTTCCTATGAGTTGACGAGTCTTCAACAAACAATTACCAACTACTTTGGTATTTTTGTAGCATTATTTGCATTAATTTTTATGTCACACACTATGCATTACATTATTTCTCATTGCATTGCAACCATAACTTAATGTCACATTATCTAGTGAAACCCAATTATTGGTCACTATTCATAAGTACAATCTTTATGCCATAGATTAATTCAATAATGTATTAAATTCCCAACTCTTCAATTATTTTAAATATTATTAATAATTTAAAAAATAATATATTTGAGTTTTTTATTTTTTAAGTTTTATGATTTTAAAATGTTTACTTTTAATTTTAAATTGTAAATTTTTAAATAAAATACTGAATTTTAGATTTTGTCTAAAAAAAAAATTTAATCTATTTTAAAATATTTCAATGATACCCTTAGGTGGGTTAAGCTTTTCAATAATACCCTTTAGTTCAAATTTTTTTAATAATATCGTGAAAATTTGTTTAATAAATTTAAAATATATCTATTATAGTATGAAATCATACCTGTCGAAAATAATATTAATATCCTTCTACTTCTATATATATATATATATATATATTTATTTATTTATTTATTTATTATTATTATTATTATTATTTGAAGTTAATATAAAGGGTAGATAGAGAATTGGCGTTCGTATATTGATATTAAATAATTTTTTTTTAACTTATATACAACGCGAAACAGTAAGGATAAGTAATTTGGTCACCAATCTAAGAGTTTGACGAAAGCGTCCCTTAGGTGAACAATGGGCTTATCCTTGATGCATGCAATGGGATTGACCCATGTCCCGGACAGTTAGAATGTTTCCGAATGCTTCTATTCATTTAGTCCTATAAATTCCAACCGATATAATAAATCCACATAAAAATCAAAAAACCGATACAAATAGATAGAAAGTAAACGTTTTTTTTCGATTCCAAGCCAAAGAAATTGACAAGAGAATTACGGTGCATAAGCCAAAGCTACATGTCAATCCATGCCACTCTCTTTGTCACTTTACACTCCTCCAGTCTTCATGACCTCTCTCCCATTTTCGCACACGTCGGGAGATGCTGCGGGACGAAGAATGCTAGCACTAAGAGACAACAACAAGAGTTTTCTTGCTATCGAGAACTCCGTTCACAGGCTCGATCTCGAGACTTCGACGTACTTATGATTTTTGTTCATATTGAAGAATGTAAAAGGATGATCTTGCACGATGAGATGAAGAGGAAGCTAATTCCCGACTCTGCATGTCGGTCGTCGGTCCGACCGTGCTCGCATACAATCCAATGGCTCCATGGCCAGAAGAGGACCTGAAATTGATACACATTTCTCACAAGCTGCAGGAAATGATACTCAGAAGATCAAAAGGATCAAGAAAAAAGGGCCTATTAATGAGTGGTCGCCTCAGTGGTTGTCTCTTGGGCTCCTGCTCGCCCTCCATGTGCTTTCCTCCTCGTCAATGAGTACCCACATATCTATTAAAAGGAGTACGAGTTCAAAGAGATCGATACTCGTTCACGTGTAAAAAATTTCGATCCAACTCGAGCAAACCATTAAATAAAATGAAAGGGATCAAAGGTCCATGGATCAAAGACTCGTCTCCCTACAACCGTTTGCTATAAAAAACGTCTTTACAAAAAGAATAGATTATTATTTAATTTAAATATGTGTAAATTTAAAATAGGGTTTAAAAGAGCGGAAGCTCACCAACTCAACATTCAAGGAGAATTAATAGTTTTTTCCTCTTACAGTTAAGTACATAACGGTACTATATTAGCACGTAAACAATAAGAGTGTTCATATGACTTGAGAACTCAACCAACTAGGATCATCTAACTAAATCTATAAATGTCGAGTCGAGTTAGGTTTTATTCCAATTTGAGTTGAAAATTGAAGAATTCGTGTTAGTTTCCAGGTTGACATTTTTCTATCAGGTCAGCTCCCCAACCTAACTCGACTTTTAAGATTATTATGAAAATTAAGAAGCAGGTTGACATTTTTTGTCAGGTCAACTTCCCAACTTTTAAGATTATTATGAAAACTAAGAAGCAGGTTGACATTTTTTTGTCGGGTCAACTCCCCAGCCCAACCCGACTTTTAAGATTATTATGAAAATCAAGAAGCAGGTTGACATTTTTTTGTCGGATCAACTTCCCAACCCAACTCGACTTTTAAGATTATTATGAAAACTAAGAAGCAGGTTGACATTTTTTGTCGGGTCAACTCCCTAACCCATCCGAACTTGTAAGATAATAATGAAAATTAAGAAGCAGGTTGACATTTTTTGTCGGGTCAACTCCCCAACCCAACCGAACTTTTAAGATAACGATGAAAACTAAGAAGCAGGTTGAAATTTTTTTGTCATGTCAACTCCCAAACCCAACCGGACTTTTAAGATTATTATAAAAGCTAAGAAGCAGATTGACATTTTTTTGTTGGGTCAACTCCCCAACCCAACCCGACTTTTAAGATTATTATGAAAACTAAGAAGCAGGTTGACAATTTTTTGTCGAGTCAACTCCCCAATCCAACCCGACTTTTAAGATTATTTGAAAACTAAAAAGGAGGTTGACATTTTTTGTCAAGTCAACTCTCCAACCTAACCTGACTTTTAAGATTATTATGAAAATTAAGAAACAAGTTGACATTTTTCGTCGGGTCAACTCTCCCATCCAACCCGACTTTTAAGATTATTATGAAAACTAAGAAGGTTTGACCTTTGTAATTAACGTTCTGAGATTTATAAGATTTTAGTTATTAATGTAACATATATGGTGGATAGGTAGAGTTATTTAAACCATTAAAATAATAATAAAAAAAACTCACAACAATGGTTGAGTTGAATGGTAAACTTTTGATGGGTGATTTTTTTTTTTGTTTTTTTTTAACCCAATCTGAGGAGGTCAAGAACTCTAGTAATTAATAATTGATGGATAAATTTCCCTCCAAATATTTTTTTAACCACAGTAAAATGAAGGCAAAAACCCTCCAAATTTCGGCGCCAGTTTTAGGAAAACAAGTGGGAAAATTTGGAAGTCTACCCACAGTTTCTCCCCAAACCCTCCTCTACTTTTACGATCTTCTCCTTCACACCGCTAGATGCTCACAAGCTCTCTCTTCTTCTTCTTCTTCTTCTTCTTCTTCTTCTTCTTCATCTTGTTCATCTTATCTCTCAATTCGGCTTCTTCCTACTGTTTCTTCTTTCGATTCAGCTTCCTATCTCCTTCCTTCCTGTATGGCGCGAGGTAGAAAGAGGCGGCGGCCAGAGACTGTTGCGGAGCGTGAAATTACTGAAATCAAGGAAGGGCGTGGCGATGGAGGGACTGAAGTTGGAGGCGTTGATAATGGAATTTTGGGCGACGGGGAAAACGAGGTGCAATGGGGGACGAAGAGAGAAGAGGAGGATGGATTGGTTACGGAAGGTGAAGATGGAAAAACTCTGCGGCGAACTGAAGGGGAGGACAATGGCGAGGAGGAGAAGGGTTTTAGTGGTGGGGAAGATGGTAGATTGGAATGTGGGGTTTCTATTACGAGTCCGACTAGGAGTTTGAGGAAGAAGGCGAGAGTTTCGTACAACGATGAGGTTTACGAGTTTGACGAGTCTGATGATGATGATAAGATTCCTTTCAAGAATTCTGGGCGAAGGGGTAGGAAGAAGAAGGTATTTTCTTCGAATCGGAATGTATCTGACAAGGAAGACCAACGGAGTCCTATGGAAGAAGATGATAAAGAGGAGATTCCTTTCAGGAAGCCTGGGCGAAGGGGTAGGAAAAAGAAGGGATTTTCTTCGAATCGGAATGTATCTGACAAGGAAGACCAACGGAGTCCTGTGGAAGAAGATGATGAAGAGGAGATTCCTCTCAAGAAGCCTGGGCGAAGGGGTAGGAAAAAGAAGGTATTTTCTTCGAATCGGAATGTATTTGAGGGAGAAGAGCAACGGAGTCCTGTGGAAGAAGCAGACGATGTTAGGGAGACAAATTCTGGCGATTCTGGAAATAGGAGAGGCTCTTCTAGAAGGAAACGCGGTGGAAAATATGCGCAAAGAAAGCAAATAGTTGTCAAACCGGAGGGCGAGAAAAGAATCAACAAGTTGGATCCGGAAGTAAGAATTGACAGTTTCTGATTAGTGCAATTCTTTGTTTTTTCTTGCTTATTACTGTTATGATCGTCTTTTTTCCATGTGAATCAACAGTTCATCGAGAAGATATCTTTAATGTGCCATCAGTGCCAGAGGAACGATAAGGGCCGTGTGGTACGTTGTACTAAATGCAGGAGGAAGCGATATTGTATCCCTTGTTTGCAGAATTGGTAGGCAAATCTTCCTTATTTACTTCCCAACTTTTTCGCCCTTGTTTATACTGTTAAGTTAGCAGGATTATTTATGCTTGATTGTTTATTTACTCTGTGGATGTATGTCAATGGGCGTGGTGTGCTTATAGCTGGATGTTTATCATGCACATTGTTGTGTTTGTACTCTTACCTTGATGGTGGGAGAGGTGGGGATCGATTAATATGTAGCGAGCAATGCATCGTAGGATGCATATCTTTCTAACATAATGAAGGCCTACATTTAATTGTTTCAGTAGACAAGTACTTAACCGAAAGATTCACGACGTTTTGCCCTCTCGGTATTTGGTGGGTGTGCAATGCTATGATTTGGACTAGCACATGCACTTGTGGCCATAAATTGATGCTCTACTAGTTCTTAGTCTCTCATGGTACTAGTGGAATGTTTATTGGTTATTCCAACTGTAGACTGCAGTGGTGATCTCTCATGGTATTGTTAGGACATTCTATCCCACGATTTAAGCTAAATGTGCTTTTCCCCCCTCGTAAGTAATAACTATCATAACTGAAGAAAAACATCGGTGGAGGACAGGAAATCCTCTCTATACGGGGAGTTCATTTACAAGCACTTCACTTATGTTACTTTCTAACTATAGTTTTTAACTTAACGTTTGGCAGCATACCCACAGAGAATCTGCCCTAGAGTTTCTTCCAAACTGTCGGGAGAAGCATCACTTTAATTTGAAAGTCTGCAGGATTAGGCTAGACCATTAATTAGTGGAAGGGGAACTTGAGCACACATGCTCTGCCTTTCATTTTAATTTATACTGAGGTCGCACCAACTCAAAGAGACTTAGATGTTGGGATGAGATTTTAAAATTCTTTTTATTATTACTATTATTGTTTTTTTTTTTTAATTCTTTCCTTTTTGTTGATTCCTTCCAAGTATATAGATTTATAAAAGCGATTGATTTCCTTGGGAATATTCTTTTCTTTCATACTTTTATAATAACAGTGTGAGGCAGAATCAATTGTAGAATTTGAGATGTATTACTTGCGATTTACTAGAAAATTTGATTGAAGGATCTAGAATCCAATCCTTATGGTCTTCAATGGTTCTTCTGACTGTATCCAATTATGATACTAAAGGAGATCTAGTTCTTGGTCCTAGCATTGGAGATATAAGAAGGCTATTCAGTTAACACTGGTGAGGAAATAGAATGGTTGTGCATATTGGTACAAAATACCGGATAACTGATGTCCTTAGTGAAGAGTTAAATCTAACCAAGGAATCATTACTTCTCATTTATGTGCACGGAGCATTAAGCTAAAGAAATTAGCTTTTTATTAAAGGGCAGCCATACTAAAAGTTGTAGAACTATTTTATTTCTTTCAATCTACACCTCATAGAGCAGCTTTCTATTTAAGGGAAGCCACACTAAGGCTGTGGAAGATCCATTTTATTTCTTTCAATCCACACTACACAGAGCAGTGTCTGGATAGCATTGAGCTAAAGCAGTTGCTTTTTGTTGAAAGAGCAGGCACACTTGAGTTGGAGAAGACCTATTTTATTATTTTAAGTGCCCACATTGGAAACTATCGATGTTTGATAGCTTCCACTAAAGTTTGAGGTTGGAAGGGAAACCAACCAAGGATAGATGGTAAGCATCTTTGTTGCTTCCCTTACACAGATATCGTCCGCTAGAAGAGAGGTGATCAGTTTGATATGAAAATCTAGTAATTTGAAATTATGAAACCTTTTGTTATGAGAACCCCTAATTATCAATTACAAAAACCCTCAAATCTATTTGATTTCATTCCCAATGGAAGGAATACATAATGGTTACCTTGATTAGGAGGTAAGGAATGTTGGTACTCTACTCAAGGTTTGAGCACTCCACAAGAAAGTTGATCAAGCCTACTCAACTCTTCTTGGCGTACAATTCAGACTCAAGAATTGCAAAATGGTGGTGAAGCTCTGTCATCAAACCCAAAAAGTTTCACTCAAAAACCCAAAAGTAATATATGCAATGTTCTTATCATGATTTAAACCTAGTCTATTTAGCTAATTAGCTAAAAGACCAATTCCCCCTTAAACATAGAAGTCATAACTTTTACCCAAACATAACCACCTAAAAATAATAAGTGTATAGAGCTTTGGTTCATTTTCCCTTTAGACCTTCATTAATTGAGTTTACCACTGTTTGTATGGCGGTATTGAAAACCATTTGTAGTTGATTGACCCTTGAGCGCTTGATTGGTCTTCGAGGCAAAGCAAGGACATCCTGGTTCATATCATAGTTTCTATAAGCTGAAGCTTGCACTTAGACTTTTTCACAAATACAAATTCTTCCAGGACTTGAGACCACAAAACCAAATATTTTTCATACTCTGATTTTATGGACATTTGAATTGTCATATTGAGGAAATAAACATACCCAATCAAGAGTTTGGTGAACCCAAAGGAACCTTTATCTTGAGTTTCTATGTCCTTAAAGCCTTCTTGAAAAGATTACTTATTTGAATAAGTTCATGTATCCTAATTATAAAATCAGTAACGTGGTGAAGTTGTAGTTTTTATGTTTCTTTGTTTGTATGGTTTATGGTTTTTTCATTCTTCCCTATCCCTTTGGAAATTACTATGTGTAATTCTTATTCTGCAGGTACCCTCATACATCAGAAGAGGAAATTGCAGAATCTTGCCCAGTTTGCCGTGGGAATTGTAATTGCAAAGCATGTTTGCGTTTAGATGTTCCTGTTAAAGTGAGCCTTTTCTCTGATTCCTTCTTGAGTATTATTTGTTCATTTGATGACGTTCTCTTTTTAAAATTAATAATTTCTTGTATTTATAGAATTTAAAGAACATGGAACCTGAGCTCACAGAAGTCCGCGAGGTTGAGCATGCAAAATATGTACTAAGTAAACTTCTACCATTTCTAAGATGGCTAAATGAAGAACAGATGTTGGAGAAAAAACAGGAAGCTACAAGGCTAGGTACTTTTGTGTTATCTATGAATTAGGGTTTAGTCATTGACTCAGTTCATAAGCAATTCTCATTCTCAGTGTTCTAAAACTGTTTAATTCGGAATTCTATATATATATTTTTTAAAAAAATCTCATATAAATGGACTAATATTTGTACAGTAGTGTGTATTTAAGGAATTTACATTCTTCTTAAGTGCTTAGCAGAAACAAATTTTTTGACATGGTTTGTTTGAGTTTTGTATAATCTTTGGGCCATTCAGTTATGAAAATATATATTACTCCATCTCTTTTAGTGGATATGCTCAATTTCTTGTAATGGATCACGTAGTTATTTTGTTTGCATAATTCTTCAAGTAGCTTTTCTTTTGCATCATAGTAAAAAGATAATCAAAAGGATGAGTTTATATCTATCTATCTATATATATATATATATTATAATATAATCTCATTTAGACAAAAGATTACATTCAAATTTGGTTCCTATGGTTAGGAGAAAGTTAGAATTTAGTCTCTATGGTTTAAGAGTAAGAATTCATCCCTATGGTTCTTTAAAACCAAGGGTTTTATTAAACCATAGAGGCTATATATGAGGTTTTATCAAACTATAAGGACAAAATTCTAACTTTTAAAGCTATAGAGACTAAAATTTTACTTTCTCCAAGTGATTGGGACCGAATTTGTAATTTGACGTAGAGAAATTTATATACAATCATGTTTTACTTCATAATTGGTGGGTTACTTTCGGCAGATTTGCCTCTTAATGGTCTGAAGGTGGAGAAGGTAGATTGTGAAGACAACGAGCGGATGTACTGGTACAGGCATTCTTTATAAGATTTCTTCCCTCGATATGTGTGTAGTATTAGTTTGAGGATGTTCTGATATCAAAATTTCTATTTGCAGCGACATTTGTAGAACCTCAATTTTTGATTTTCATCGAACGTGTGTTTCTTGTTCTTTTGACCTTTGCATCAATTGTTGCCGAGAAATCCGTGAAGGAGATATGCGGTGTTGTGAGAAAAAAAAGATAATACCATATACTAATCAAGGATTTGAGTACTTGCATGGTGGAGTGAGTAAAAAAGCCAAAGTGCTTGCTGAGTCTTGTCCTAAAGATGATGTGGAATCAGCATTCATATGGAGAGCGGAGAAAGATGGAAGGATTCCTTGTCCACCACCCAACTTGGGTGGTTGTGGTAATGGTTTTCTAGAATTAAGATGTATATTGGAAGATTCGATCTCTGAACTGGTGGATGAAGGAGAGGAAATTGCCAAAACCCACAACATAAGTGATGTGGATGAAACTGCAGGAAAGTGGTGCCCATGCTTTAACTCGGGTGGTGAAATTGATCTTGAGAGTGGTGTGTTGAAGAAAGCTGCTTCCAGACAAGGTTCAAGTGATAATTATTTATATTGTCCTAGGGGAAGGGATATCCAAGCTGGAGAGTTAAAGCATTTTCAGTGGCATTGGAGCAAAGGTGAGCCTGTGATTGTTAGCAATGTTCTTGAAAATACATCAGGTTTGAGCTGGGAACCCCTTGTCATGTGGCGTGCCTTCCGTCAAATTACACATACAAAACATGGTCAGCAGTTGGAAGTTAAGGCCATTGATTGCTTGGATTGGTGTGAGGTCAGTTTAATTGCTTTTGCTAGACATTGACATAATTTAAAGCTTCTAATTTTCTCCCCAATTTGTTGTGAGATAGTTTCTCTGTTCACTTCAGCTCGAAAATTTAAGGAAACTCCTCATATTGATTCATCAAACTAAACCAGACCCCCTTCCCACACTCATGTGTGCACACACGGGGAAATAAAGTTTTAACACCCTTCCCTACAGGGAACTATTTTTCCCTTCAAAATTCATTCATAAAAAAATGATAACTGAATCACAGGTTTCTAACTCCACAGATACTGGAAAAAAGGTCGTTGTGTAATCCAGAAGTTCAGCCAAAAACTAACAGCAAAAGACTAACATTTAACCCAAAAATTATCGTACCTTTCTGTAACATGCTATTGGCAAGGGAGAAAGTAACATAAAAAGAAAGAAGGCATGCAAAGGAAAATGAATTAGAAATCGGAAAAGCTTCAGATATCCAAACGAGTGAGGAAGAGGAAGCCTCGAATGTTATTGAGACCAATTTTTGGCCACGAGGTACTTTCAATCCATCAAGCATCCATATAGACTAGCCAAGAGTGATGGAGAGAAGCCTGCAACCAAAGTGAGAGTGGTAGAGTGGCTGAGAGGTGGGAGCTGTATTTTGATGGATAGAACAAAGAGGATGGATCAAGGGATACCTGTGTTGTTTCTCTGGTTCAATCCCGTATAAATTCTGAAAACCAAATTAAATTTTGGTTCTCATTTTCCCATGAAGTAAAATTTCCTGAAGTTCAAAAAGGGTACCTAAGTTGACCTGTTGGGTTTGGGTTTTTTGTTTTTTAGCATACCCCTAGTAATAGATAAGGAATGCTAGTAGAACATCTTCAGGAAAATAAAATGTTTATCTTATTTTGTTTGTTATTTTTTTAATTGATCGTTATATTATAAAGCTGTGCTTTATTTCGGTTTCAAATCTTACTATCTTTTCAAATTTTGCAAAGGAATTTAATGGTTCTTTTCTATCGTTCATTCACTTTGCACATTAGGTAAAGCTTGACATTTGGCAAATGAAACATTATTTTTGTTAGGATCATCTAGGCAAAGAATTATCTTTATCTTGAAGTTTTAACCGATAAATTGGGTTTCAGTTGGTCTGGATGCTTTCTGGTGATTGCATTCCGAATTTCTAACCCTTTTTATTTCTTTTGGTGATTCCTAAAGTTAATAATTAAATGATGAAACCAACGGCCTTTAATCTCAACCAGAAATATTCAGCGGTTTCAGGCTCTTAAGCATCAAATCAAAGTTTATTTTTAATGCGTCCTTGCTCCTTAATACTGAAATATATCAGTGTTCAGCTGGACATGCCTTTTATTTTATAATTATATTTTAGGGTAAACTTTATTTTTAAACTATGTAATCTAATATGAACTTGTTGAATTGCAGCTTGATGTCAATATCCACAAATTCTTTATCGATTACACCAATGGTCAGTTTGATGCGAAATTATGGCCCCGGATACTTAAACTCAAGGATTGGCCTCCTTCTAGTCATTTTGAGAAATGCTTGCCTCGTCATAATGCTGAATTCATCAGTTGCTTACCTTTTAAGGAATATACACATCCTTATAAAGGCAGTCTAAATCTTGCTGTTAAATTGCCGGAGAAATCTCTAAAACCTGATATGGGACCCAAGACATATATTGCTTATGGAGTTGCACAGGAGCTTGGTCGTGGGGACTCCGTTACCAAGCTTCATTGTGATATGTCTGATGCAGTATGTCAATATCTAACTTTCTTCCATCTTGTAGAGCTATATATATATTCCCGTTTGAAATTTGAGATAATCAGTATTCCATTCTTCATGGATTTTTTATTTCCAGTTTTTATCAGTCATTAAATATGCCGGCATGAGATCGTCTATTACAGGATATGCTGTAGCTAAGACTGTTCCATTAGACGATCAGTTTCATTAAATCTAGTTCTTGCATTGGGCAGACTACTCTATCACATGATAGACAGATTTACACATCTTACTGATGTCTCCTTCTGCACCCTATAATTCTTTAAGAATCTGCACATCAGTCAGTTAAGAGAAAACCATTTCTTTTTTTAATGTTTTGAGATTGAGATTGTTCAAGGGAATCGCTCGTTTGAAGAGTATTCTATCATGTGCCTTAGAAATTTTGTTTGAGCTGCTGCTTGAAAATTTGTACTCTGACGAGGGAGGTTGATTGGTTGATTTCTTAACTTCTGATAATCTAGTATTTCCATCTGCGAGTATTAAAGTTTCAAACCATCTGTTTTGATAACAAAAATTTAATTGTTGATCTTCATTTATCACCATTAAAGAATTTTGGTTTGCATAATGTTTTAAGATTTTTTCTTTAAATCATGTTTGATTGATACTGGTAAGAAATAGTAAATGCTACAGCTGACAGCAACAAAAGTAAAAAATATGCAAATCCTATCTCTTTAATGATTGTTATCACTTGTTATTTTACTTCGTTGCTTACCCTTCCTTTAATTTGATTAGTTGCCTTGTTTTTACTTGAATCAAAATAATCTTATGCTGGCTTGTTTCAGGTAAATGTTCTTACTCATGTTACCAATGTCACCCTTGAGCCCAAGCATTTACATAGTATTAAAGAATTAAAAGAAAAGCATCTTGCTCATGACCAAAAAGAAATTTATGGTGCCACGACTGATACTAATACTGTCGACAAAAGCAAGTCTTGCAATGACCCTTGTAGCATGACTGAAAATGGGAAGGAACTTGCTTGTGAAGTTGGTCATCAGAACAATAATGCAGTCTTGGAGAATGCATCTAGCCCTAAGAGAGGTGATGCTGAAGAGGGTGATCTTCAAAGTTTGAATGAACCCAATGGAACTGACCCTGATGAGTCTGTAAAGGTAAATCTAGCTGAAGAAACTTGCGGTGATGCGAAAATATCAGAAGCAATGGAAAGTTGGGAGGTGCCTGAAGGGGGCGCACTTTGGGACATTTTTCGTAGGCAAGATGTCCCCCTGCTGCAGCAATATCTCAACAATCATTTCAGAGAATTTAGGCATATCCACGCTGGTCCAGTTCCACAGGTTACTATGATCATCAATTGGACTTGCATTCTTTAATTATTTTGATATTAAGATAGCAAATCATAGTTCTTTATAGTTACAAATATGCAATATTATGAAGTATCCTTTGTTCAATTGGGCCTCATTGTTTATTCTACTTTGAAGTAAAAAAAAAAAAAGGAAATCAATTCTCTCCTATCTGCCCAAAATGCTATCAGTTGCTTTGAAGGAAACATAGAAGAATGTTCTACCTTGTGATGCTCTTTGCTAGTTGGCCAAAGCTGTTTTGCATTATATTTGAACTGGACTTATTTTGCATTGACTATAGATTAGAGCAAGTTTATGCAGTAATGTGTTTACCAAGTGTTCTTGCTTTGGTAATCCAGGTGTTTCATCCAGTGCATGATCAGTCATTTTATTTGACTTTGGAACACAAAAGAAAGCTCAAGGAGGAATATGGTTAGACTGTCATGTGTTATTAGGCTACACTTATTTTATCATCATCATTCTTGACAATAATCTTCTTCTGCTTGCTTTTTGTATAGGAATTGAACCTTGGACGTTTGTCCAAAATCTGGGAGATGCTGTCTTTATTCCTGCTGGTTGTCCTCATCAAGTCAGAAACTTAAAGGTATCTATTGTGTTCTTTAAAAACTGATTGATGTGATTGTATGCTTTTTAAAAAAATGTCTTCTTGATAGCCATTCTAATCAGGTAGTTTTTTAGCTCATCTTTCTTTTTATTGTTTTTTTTTTCGTTTGAGAGTTCAATCACATGTGGGGGTGAAGATTCAGACATTTGGGCACACATATTTTAACTGGTTAGATATTAGCTGGTCCATATTGCATCTAGAAACACAACTTGGTCAGGATACACAGCCCACATGAACGAACTTGGTTTTTATATATAAAAAAACTCGATTCTTTTTTTAGCTGATTCTTCTCTGGTTGTACCTTTTGGTTTTACTCTTACATTTCAAGATTTGTGTCAGTTCATTATCCGTTTATTCAGAATGGTATTTGTTGCAAGTTTAAATTCGAATGCTGTTTTGTTTTTTCTTTTTTTCAGAGAATTTCATGTCCCTTTTATAGGAAAAGACTAACTAAATCCAAATTGATAAATAATCTATTAGATACTAAGTAATCTAAGTAGCCAAGTCTAAATAAATCCGACCAATATAATAATCCCTATATACTGGCCAGCCACTAAATCTAAATAAATTAAATAAGATAAATTGGGAAGGTCATAGTTATTTAACGGATTACAAATATCGTTATCAACTCACAAATTATACAAATATCTCCTACTTTAGGCTAATTTTTTGACACTCTCCCTCAAGCCAAGAATGAATATTTCTATTACTCAGCTTGGACGGGATAGACTTGTGTAAATATCTTCTAACTTTAGGACTAATTTTTTGACACTCCCCTCAAGCTGAGAATGAATATTTCTATTACTCAGCTTGGATGGGATAGACTTATGTGTCAGCTGCTTTCGTTATCTAATGCATCACAAATATCGTTATTAACTAACGAATTATACAAATATCTCCCAACTTTAAGACTAATTTTTTTGACACTTCCCTTCAAGGTGAAAATGAATATATCTATTAGTCATCTTGGACTTAATAGACTTATGTGCAATATTGATCTTACGATTTTGACTTTTGACGACATGACTTCAACGGTAGTTATGAATGCTCTGAATAAATTTGGTCCAAGTGGATGATCGGTGGCTATGAAGGTTTTGAACAAATTGTTCAATGGTAGCTATGAAGGCTTTGAAAACATTTGTTAAGGTAGATGATTGGTAGCGATGAAGATTCCGAATAAATTTGTCAACTGTAGAAGAAGATCAGTAGCAATGAAGACTTTGAATAAATTTGGTCAAGGTGGAAGATTTGTAGCTATGAGACTCCGAATAAATTTGGTCAAGTGGATGGTTGAAGGGCAATGGAGTGCTCTCCGTGCAGTCTTGACAACGATTCGATCATTTGGAAAATTGTTGGAATTAGAGTTGAAGCTTGTTGGGACCAAAAATAGGAACTCCCTTTTTGTGATATAGCAACATTCATTCCACAAACTGCATAACCAAGCAAGGCTGCCCCATCACACTGTACTAGGTCCAATAGCAACCTTTATACAAAGGTTGGCATTATGGTCTATGATCAATAGTGGAATATAGTGGTTGTAGGCGGTAGTGGATTTGATGCGATAGTGGTTTGAGGGTATTCTTGCAGCTTGGAAGCAGAAGGAGAAAGTTGGACTTCACAATGGTGACCTCGCGATGGACTGTGATACTTGATTGGATGAGTAATTGTGATACTGGGTTGAAGGAAGTAGCAGCGATTGGTTGCTATAATGCACAGAAGGTCGGCAGCTACGGAGGCTTTACCGATTGAGTTAGCGTTCGGTTTTAGGCTTTAATACCATGTTGCAAATCTAAATTAGACGGCTGTTTTTCTCATGTTGCAAGTCTAAATTAGATTGCTGTTGTTGTTTAGGAAAGACTTATAAGTAACTAAATCTAATAATAATCCTGGATAATAAGTAATTAAATCTAAATAAATCCAATAAATATAGTTGTAACAAGTTCACTGTTAGTAGATATTATCCTGTTTGAGATTTTTCTTTTGGGTTTCCCCTCAAAGTTTTTAAAACGCGTCTTCTAAAGAGAGGTTTTTACACCCTTATAAAGAATGCTTCGTCCTGTTTGGACTTTCCCTTTCAGGTTTTCCCTCAAAGTTTTTAAAACCCGTCTTCTAAAGAGAGGTTTTCACACCCTTATAAAGAATGCTTCGTTCTCCCTCCTCCCCACAACCGATGTGGGATCTCACAATCCACCTGTTTTGGGGCCCAACATCCTCGCTGGCACTCGTTCCCTTCTCCAATCAATGTGGGACCCCCTAATCTACATCTTACAATCCACCCCTTTGGAGCTCAACATCCTCGCTGGCACTCATTCCCTTCTCCAATCAATGTGGAACCCCCCCAATCTACCCCCTTTGGGTTTCAGCGTCTTTGTTGGCACACCGCCTCGTATCCACCCCCTTTGGGGCTCAGCATTCTTGCTGGCACATTGCTTGGTGTCTGACTTTGATACCATTTGTAACAGCTCAAGCCCACCGCTAGTAGATGTTGTCCTCTTTGGGCTTTTCCTTTTGGGTTTCCCCTCAAAAGCTTTTAAAACGCGTCTGCTAGGGAGATGTTCCACACCCTTATAAAGAATGTTTTGTTCTCCTCCTCAACCGATGTGGGATCTCACAATAATACTCTTTGGCTACTTTCTTATTTAATGGGATTACATAAATATCCTTCTGACACTCTCCTCAAGTTGGGTAATAGATATTATTCATTCTCAACTTAAGCTTATCCTTGTTCAGTTTTAAGAATATATATGCTTACTAAAAATGCATTTTTTTTTTTTTTTTTTTTTTTTTTTTTTTTTGTATTATCAAATCAAGCACATTTGCATGGTACAATATGTATTTTTATTAATATTGATGTATTTGTTAGGCTATTATTCTAATTACGTTCCAATTCATGTTCCCCATAGTCATGCATAAAGGTTGCTATGGACTTTGTCTCACCTGAGAACGTGGGAGAGTGCATCCACTTGACTGAAGAATTTCGCAGGCTTCCGTCAAATCATTGGGCTAAGGAGGACAAGTTGGAGGTAATTCATCATTATCTCTCATCAACCTCGTCTCGTCGATTAATGTCTGACCATGTTTTTGTTTTGTCGGGAACATATTGTTTATGTGGCTGTCTGATAACCTTTTTATAACAAAAACATATCTGTCTGCTGATTGGAAGCAAGTTTCTATCATGACCTATGCTTGAAACAGGTAAAGAAAATGAGCGTTCATGCTATGAAAGCGACAATTGCTTGTTTGAAGGAAAAGTGCAAGTGATTTGCCTAATTTAGGATATTTCTTATGAGGTTAGTCAAACTATTCTGAATTCACGCATTCATTCGTCTGAGTTCTTGTTGGCATTTGAAGTTGATTTCAATCTATATTTCGAACTCGAAACAGCCTCGGGGGCGATCCTGTAACCAGAAGAATGTGCACAAGGTTTGAGTTGGTATGTAGGATGACTAATCCTGAACTTTTGTGATACCAACTGTTTTGTAGCAGTAGAACTATGCCCCATACATTTTGTACAATGATTCATTGGCTCTGTTACTCCCTTGTATGATATAATAGTTCATCAATAACTTATGCCGCTATGTCATTTATCAGCTACGAGATTCGGGGTATCGCTTTCGACCCCTTTTTGGCATTTTTGTATAGATAACATTGCTGCTGCTGCTGCCATAATGGGGAAGTCAAATGACAAGCATGATATGCATGTTTTGGAACCCTCATACTCCCTTTCAAAATTCTATATCTGTTAGGTTTCTGTTGTTTTGCCAGTTATCACAGAGCTGCTCGGATTCGTACTCGGACGTTAGAAACCAAAGATCAAGACTCGCCAGGTACGTCTCGATATAAATGATTGAATCTGTTTGAATAACACTTATTGAGGGGTTTAGACTCTGCAGGTGCATATCTATCAGGTATGTATGTAATGATCAGACATTCTCAAGAATTTGGCCAATTGAAATATTTCTTAGAACAAAGCATAAGTTACATTAAATCTTTATTAACGTTTCTTTTAAAAAAATAACTTTGATAATCTAAATTATTTTAAATCTTTTTAAAAAATTTCATTAATACCTTTAAACTTTTTTTAAAAAAAAAAAAAAAAAAAACCCCATTTAAGAATATTAATGATTTTTTAAAAAAATTAATTGTTATAATCCTTCATTATATGAATATAAATGGCATTAAGATATCTTACCACTCCTAAATAAAATAATGTATTGTAGACTCTACCTAACTTAGCATTATTTTGTCAATAACTGATGAGTACCTAATTCTTATCTACGTTCGTGACATGATATTAATTTTAGAGATGTCAACTTTATTTGTGGTAACTTGGGAGAGGGAACAAGAAATATTTTTCACCGAACGAGGTTGGAAATTGAATTATATTCTTGCCTTTCCATCCAATTTCTCGCTCGTTTAGTATAAATATATTTTAAATTTTTATTAAAAAATAAATTAATTAATTTTGAGACTTTAATTATAATAATAAAATGGGTAGATTGTAGAGTGTGGTGTAGTATTAAAATTAAAATTTTTAAAAATTATGAACATTTTATTTATTTATATAGTGTGGTGTAATATTAAAATTTAATTTTTTTAAAAATTATGAACATTTTATTTATTTATATGTATATATATATTTATTTATTTGCTTCTGATTTATTATATATATGTATATATATATATATATATATATATATATATATTTTTTTTTTTGTAATTTTTTAATAAAGATTATATTGAAAAATAAAAATCTTAAAATAATTATTTTTTTGAAAAAATAAACCGGTAAATATTATAGCCGTAAATATCTCAACTGCAAAATAAATGTACAATTTTGAAGAATAAAAAATAAAATAATGGAACAAATTCAGAGAAATCTGGAATCTTCTGAGGACGTCGAGAATCTTCAAGAGCCAATTGCACTGAAGACGAGAATCATCACTTCTCAGCAGCCAATGGAGTTGACGACGATGGCGTCGACACTAATAAACCCGCCGTTCTTCCTTTTCGCCCATTGTTTTCCCAATCCTTTTCTCGTCTCTTCGAGTTCTCTAACATAAAATCCTCTTTTTCTTCTCTTTTTCTCTGCGAATCTCTCGTTGGTTTTCGGCTGGTGTTTGTATCTTCTTCGCCGTACCACAATGTTCTCCACCGCCAGTCTCGCCGCCGTCGACAAGCCTTTCTTCTGCCACCAGTGTGATCGCGCCGTTACTGTTATTGTATCCCTTTCATCGGATCCTCTGTGTCCGTTTTGTAATGAGGGGTTTCTTGAAGAGTACGAGAATTCCAATTCCAACTCGAATGTCAATCTTGATCGCGGAACACTTCTCCTTCCCGATCCTTTCCGTGGTTTTAATCCTCTTGTTGTTTCCTCTTCGACCGTTGTTGATCTTCAAAACCCTGGTTTATTTTCAAGAACTTTAAGTTTGGCTTCCCAATCCAATTCGTCAGTTCAGCCTGAGCCGTATGACCCCTTTGTTTTTCTTCAGAATCATTTACGGGGTATCTTCGATAGTGGTGCGGATGTTGTGTTTGAAATTCCGCGCCATGCTTCCCACTCTGGCTTTTCAATGCCTCAAAATGTTGGCGATTACTTCATTGGACCAGGCCTTGAGCAGCTAATTCAATTACTGGCTGACAATGATCCGAACCGATATGGAACTCCGCCGGCGTCTAAATCGGCGATTGAGAAGCTTCCGACTGTGACTGTTACCGAGGATCTTCTGAATTCGGAAATGAACCAGTGTGCCGTCTGCATTGATGGGTTTGAAAAAGATACTAAGGTTAAGCAGATGCCCTGCAAGCATGTATTTCACGATTATTGTATATTGCCTTGGCTTGAATTGCATAATTCATGCCCTGTTTGCCGGTTCGAGTTGCCTACAGATGATTCTGATTACGAGAATCGAACTCGTGGAAGCCAGGTGCAGGCGAATGAATCTTCCGGAGAAGAATCAGGGTCAGGAAACAGAGGAAGCAATAGTGGGCGTGTTGAGAGGAGGTTTAGAGTGCCGCTATGGTGGCCGTTTGGGGGGCGGAACGATGGGAGTGACTCCGGCGATGGGAATGTCAGCGAATGAGCGGGTGGGGTGCAGGACAAATTCTGAATATGTTCTGGTAACTCTCTTTCTCGCCTATATTGTTACTTGTAGTTTTACTTTTGCATATTGCTTGCTGTGCTATCCCCCAACCCCCCCCCCCC